TTGATGTTGTTGTTGTTGTTGTTGTTGTTGTTGTTTTTGTTTTTGTTTTTGTTTTGTTTTGTTTTGTTTTGTTTTGTTTTGTTTTGTTTTATTTTATTTTATTTTATTTTTAAAATTCCATTCAGAGACAGAATAAGTTACCTTCTCAGTTCTATTATTCACAGAATTCCTTGCTGAGGTAAACCGGAAATTTATTTATTTATTTATTTATTTATTTGATTTTTATCCCGTCCATCTGATCAAATAGACCACTCTGAGCGGCTTCCAATAGAAGAACATATACAATAAATAATAATAATATTACAACCAAACTGACATATATAAGAATAAAGAAAATAATAAGTAAAGAAGAAAAATTAAGGGTTGACAGGAGGGAATGCCTGAACATACAGCCATGTTTTTAATTGGCTCTTAAAAGTGCCCATCGTAGGGGCTGCCCGAATCGCCGGGGGAAGGCTATTCCAGAGGCGAGGAGCCACTGCCGAGAAGGCCCTCTTTCGTGTTCGTTCATTCCGGGCCTCCCTCAGCGTTAGGCTCCTCAGCCTCACCTCCCGGCTCGAGCAGGTGATCCGGGCAGATTGTCATTCAAGAACACAACTTTTTGCACTTGTGATTCAGACACACAAATAACCAGTTGGTTCAACTTGCCCAGCTGATTTTTTGTACTTGAGGTTTCTTAAAGAGCAGTCCCAACCTCACCCTCCTTTCCTGGAATTAGGGAGTGATTAAGTCACCTCTGAAGCAGACTGAACTTCCAAAACCAGTTAGTGATATAGATTGGGGGTGGAAAGGATCAGAGTGTGGCCAAGTTCCTCTTTTTTTAACTACGATTCCCAGCATGCTCTGCACCGAAAAGATTCCTCCAACAGAGGGAGAAGCTTCAAACTATTTCCTCTGTTATGTTTCCAAAATCTGCTACATAGTACGCCAGGTACTAGCAGTAAAACAGAGACAGATTCGGTATCTGTTAATCATTTTTGACCATTACAGTTTAATAAAGGGAGGCCATCTAAAGTCAAATCTTCTCTTTTATCTTTTTTGTCTGGCCTTGAATCACAGTGAATGATGCTGCTGTTAATGTTTGTGCTACATCACAGGCTTTTTAGAAGAAACAGGGTGATGGCCCGTCATTCTTTGGTCAGAATCTAATGCGCACCTTTTACGGGGGAGAGGAGAGCCAGAACAGAATTTTTCAGTGACTCCCTCCAGTTCCATTATATACTTTGCTATCTCTCTCCCACCCTCCGACCCTCCACCCCCAATTCTTTGATATTAATCTGTTCCTTCTTTGAAACATCAAAGCAAGCCTATTTCTATGTTTTTCGAGGCGTTCAGCACTGGTATGATGATGATCCTCTGCTCTGATGCTAACTTCCTTAAATCACCTATTGAAAATGAACTAGATGTTGTACTACTATTTCTAGATAAGGATAATACTGTAAATAAAATATTTTTTAAAAAACACACATATATGGATATGCCTTCAGAATGATATTTACAAAGGTTTCCATGAATTGTTTCACTGAATAAATGGAAATATGCTCTAAGACACAAGGAACTAGTCGTCACAGGGATTCATCCTTCTGTATTTACAGTACATACCCCATTGATTCAGGGGTCATTTCTTCTCTGGCAAATATAATTTGCATAATAGGTTTCACTCATTTTCAGGGTGTCACAAAAAAAGAGATTAAAAATGAGCAAAGGTCAGAGTACTTTTTTGATTTAAAGAAATACTAAGGTGTAAGCAGCTTCTTTGTTTAGGGAAAAGAACTAGTGGGGGCAAATTGGAATGTGATACTGGTTTATGAAATGTTGCACACATTTCCCTCATATAATTCTGGATTCTTGTTTAACACAGCAGTTAGGAGGCTTTGCGCCCCCCCCCCAATACGTTTGGGATTTCTTGATTGATCGTAGGCATCCTTCAGAGTACTTTTTTGATTTAAAGAAATACTAAGGTGTAAGCAGCTTCTTTGTTTAGGGAAAAGAACTAGTGGGGGCAAATTGGAATGTGATACTGGTTTATGAAATGTTGCACACATTTCCCTCATATAATTCTGGATTCTTGTTTAACACAGCAGTTAGGAGGCTTTGCGCCCCCCCCCCATACGTTTGGGATTTCTTGAATGATTGTAGGCATCCTTCACAGTCTCGAGAGACTATGGTAACATGCTCTGGATAGAGGTCTTGGAACAGCGTCTAGTGTTGCTGAGAAGGCCAATTCGAGAGTGACAATCCCTTCCACACCGAAGACAAATCCAATCTGTCCCCTGTCCAGCTCCCTGATTTTGCTGCTTTCGGGACTGCCTCTTCGCCTCGGCCTGCTGGACAAGGGCCTCTTCAAATTGGGAGAGGCCATGATGCACTGCCTGCCTCCAGGCTGAACTCTCAGATGTCAGGGTTTCCCATCTGTTGAGGTCCATTCCTAAGGCCTTCAGATCCCATTTGCAGATTTCCTTGTATCGCAGCTGCGATGATGATAAATAATATAAAAATTATAAAGCATCTGGTGCACCTATTGGATGTAGCTGTGAGAAATATGTCTATTCCGGAGACAGTAGGTATCCTTCAGTCTCAAGAGACTGTGGTAACGTGCTCTGAATAGAGGACTTGAAATACAGTCTGTCCCCTGTCCAGCTCCCTGATTTTGCTGGTTTCGGGACTGCCTCTTCGGCTCGGCCTGCTGAACAAGTGTCTCTTCAAATTGGGAGAGGCCTCCAGGCTGAATGCTCAGATGTCAAGGTTTCCCATTTGTTGAGGTCCATTCCTAAGGCCTTCAGATCCCGCTTGCAGATGTCCTTGTATCGCATCTGTGGTCTCCCTTTGGAATGATTTCCCTGCACTAATTCTCCATACAGAAGATCTCTTGGAATCCAACCATCAGCCATCTCATGGATTTCTGGATAGCTCAGTGATTTAGTCCAGTGGTTCTTAACCCTTGTTACTCGGATGTTTTTGAACTGCAACTCCCAGAAACCCCAGCCAGCACAGTTGGTGGTGAAGGCTTCTGGGAGTTGCAGTCCAAAACTCCTAAGAAACCCAAGGTTAAGAACCAGTGATTTAGTCATCTGTCTGCAGAGCCAGAGATTGTGAGTTCAATTCCCACTGTGCCTCCTCGCTAGGAACTGGACTCAATAATCCATAGGGTCCCTTCCAGCTCTACAGTTCTAAGGTTGTTATCATTTCCCCCAGGAGTCATATCCAGTATGCCCGTGTTAAGAAACTGTAGGAGCCGTTGTTCAAAATGTCTGGATGACCACACTTTCCCCTGCTCTACAATAAGTGGCTTTTCATCACAAGGGTCTCCCTATTCAGAGGCAATAGACCATGTATGGCACTTTTTGGGGAGCAGCATCAGGAGCACATAATTCCCAGAAACAGGCAGTGGCCCCTGGAGGAGCCAGGAGGTGGTCGGCTGGATGGCTCCATCAGGACCCTTTTGTACAGAGATGGGTCACCTGGAAGCAGGATGATGATGGCAGGTAAACTTGTCATTTGTTCATGCAGTAGTGCTAGGTCTGGGCCATTCAACTACAGAAAGCCTTCACTAGATGCAGTAACAATTACTGAGCCTTTATATGTAAATACAGAGAAGTCCTCTGAAATTCCTTTGAGTTGATTTCTTCATGTACTCCATAATCTTACATATAAATGCTGCTGATAATGGCAATGACCATGGTAATAGGTACTTGAAAAGGGCATTTACATGCTGCCAGTGACATTTTTGGTTTGGTTCGGCATTTCCCTAAACAGCCTACCAACGACTCTGGTCTTTTAAGAAGAGAGAGCAGGAGGGCCTAGAATACAAGTAGGCAGTCTGAGTGCAAGCACAGACCCTCTCCACACACACACACACACACAACCAACAGAACATCCTTGTGTTTCTCTAAGGCCTCCACTGTTGTCATTCTCTCTGTTGCTGGTGTAACTTTGCAGTTGCATTGCCTTACTTAGCAAAGCACAATAAACATCTACCTAATATAATGTATGAAAGTGGCATTATTCTGATATGAGGAAGAAGAGAAGAGAAAAGATACATTTTTCAGCTGATGGATCTTCTGTGGCTCTAACCAGAAACAGACAGACAAGAGTGAGATGCTGGTCAAATGGCTTCGGCCACACGGATATATCATCATAGGGTGGAATGCTGTGGAACATGCATGTGCATGAACAGGAGGAATCACAGAAGTGGCCATGGCTAATTGCACATCTGGCACCTTATCAAATCGTCCCTGTTTGCCACAGCAACTTCTGCTATTTTTCATGGACACATGAGAATTTTAGCCATAACTTTTACTCTTCACTAGGTTCCGAAGTGTCTTTTTATTTCCTTTTATCCAGTTTAGTCCACTTAAACACATGCACGCACACACAGTCAAAAGTCAACACTGAATAAAGGAGGGGGGAATACTAGCTGATGTGATTGTGCATTTTTAAAAAGGCCTGGCATCTGAAATTATGCCAATCGAAACATCTGGAAAGGGTGGTGGTGATCTGTTCCCTCTTAAAGGGACAA